TGGGTGAACCCAACTCCTCCTGGCTGACCAGTAGGGTACAGTCTCGTCATAATTATAATATACCTTTTGGTAGTTCAGTAAAGTGATCAATCCTCCCCCGGTGCATGACTATGTGTATAATACATGTTATATGTTAACCACATTAAACCTAGATTTCTAACTCATTATAAGACTAATTACCGCAAATACAAATGTCAAATGGGAATCACTTGTAGCAAAATTATCACAGACATCGTACCGACTACACACATACACACATCACAAGTAAAGATAATCGCTTGTTATGTCATGATAGTTGTCACGTATTTCTTTGTCAAGTAATCTCACAGACCGTATTGCCGTGCCACTAATTACACATGTAATGAAGTCATAAATTGGGCATCAGGTGAATGTCGGCACGCATTGATGTACGTAGATGGGGTTACCATCACCAACATCATGTTACAGATTGATCAGTTATACACTGATAGCTGGATCAGCCTGTAAATCGACCAAAGATTATGTAACTATAACTAACGATTGAAAGAAAAACAAACTAAATTATATTTTCAAACGTTATTTTATTTTATGTTTGTAACGATTTCAAAGTATAAACATTTGCGTTTTGTGCAGGTACGCAACTGCCAAATGGTGGGTTATGATTTCAGGTTCCGCTTTTCAAGGATGATGGCCATGAGCTGCTATTGTTGGATGAGGTGGTGAAAAATACCTTCAACGCATAACATCCATGTGTTAACTTAGATAGTCATCATTTAGCAGCCTTGATAGGTTAAAGTTTTGATGATAAACTTATGGTTTTTCAATTGTCCAAGTGTCAAGTATTTCAAGTGTCCTCCTATTAGTCACATGTCCCATCAGTCAGACAACTTGAAACAAACTATATGGATATGGAACTAATTGAAAAAATAAACATTTTCACATTATTGTAGATGGTACAAAATATATACGATAAATTTGAACTTTCAGAATTAAGGGGCAATGTTATACCTTCTAAAGAGATCATTATAACAGGGGTGTAGCATTACCATGTTGCAGAGTATGAGATTTGGTTCCTTCATTCCGTAAGGTCATTTTGTTTAGAACGTATCAATTGAACTGTACACAACAACAATCAAGAAAGGGGAAATTTCGATATCCTATTAGCTTCTATATATTTTTTTAATTATCGAGTGTTAATCTAAAACTAATCAGCGTTCTCGCCACACGTAAAGATATTAAATCTAACCACACTACTCGTAGAGATACACAGGGTATTTGATAACCATCATCAAACATCCCCTATTTCGTTTATCGTTTAAGAAAGTCGTCCAGTCTATCGTCACACTCTTTTGCGAGACACGAGATACGAAGTTTAGCCATCAAGCATTCACGCTGTCAGGTTGACAGCCATGCCCTGGGTGACACCATTTAAAGTGAGTGTTGGAAAAGCAGGAACAAACATATCTGTGAACTTCGACTCTGAGGTTGAAGGAACGTATATTTGTAAGAATCAGTGCTGCTACGGGTAAAAAGCATGCATACCTTTAACGCATATTGTGTTGTATATTATAACATTGAACAAAATCCGCGTCACAAGATGCACACTTCATTTGAAAATATAAATTATTATGAAATGAGTGAGTGTGTTCGAGCACTCCAACACCGTTGGTAGAAGTGCGTAGACCTCGGAGAAGATTATGTTGAATTACCAGCCATCTCCATCAAAGCAGACCATCATAGTTAGGCTAATAACTCTTCAGTCACTCCTCATATATTCTCTATTATCAATTTTAGAGTGTGTTAGTGAGTGAGTATGGTTTTACGTCGCTTTTAGCAATATTCCAGCAATATCACGGCGGGGGACACCACAAATGGGCTTCACACATTGTACCCATGTAGGGAATCGAACCCGGGTCTTCGGCGTGACGAGCGAACGCTATAACCACAAGGCTACCCGACCGCCGTGATGTCGCTGGAATGTTGTTAAAAGCGAGGTAACACAGTACCTACTATTTCCCAATAGCAGATAGATGTCAGTTCCACGAGAAAAAGAAAATTAAAATAGAAAAAAATATGAAAGTAAAGTCTGTCTTCAAACACCTTAGATGAAAGGAGCCCGCGGGACGGCCGACTCATGTCAGGTCAGGTCAGACAGTTTTAAATGTAGGTCTATACATTAAACTTCAGATTGACCAGAAACGAGCCACAATACTGTATGACAAGAGAGATGGTCAACTTTCCAATTACCAAGTTTCCTTTTGTAAAGCATTCAAAATGTTTTACGGTAGACACTCAGTAAGACACGTAGAGGGCATTTCTAAATCTGACGCACCAGTGACAAATTTATGTCCTATGCAATTCCTTATTTTTACCTGTACCATGTGTTCCCGTAGTTAATGGCTGAACAATTGACTTGCCTTTGCATGTGTGTGTGTGTGATGAGTGCCATGATACGCTAACCTTTTCGCGGAAATCCGAGTACCATTCTATTTGATAGTGATTCATAAACACATGTCTCTCCCTATGAAACGTTACTTAATGGATAGTTTACATTGGAATCGTCTTTTGTCTTTGTATTTAGGATCTTTGATAACATGCGTAAATATACAGTGCCCATAATGATTTTTCCTCTAAACCACGCTACATCGTCTAAAAGTATGCAATAACGTGTTTTTTTAATTAGAATGTAATAACGTTACATTTTACAAGAGGTCTTACATGTGTATTGTACACGGCAAATGAGTCGCCTCATGACGTTCGGTCTTTGCACTGACCGAAAGCGCTGACTAGCAAGGTTGGCACAACACGATGTAATAACACAACCCAAGTATGGATTAAAAATACATTTATTAGGTGAATATACTAATAAATAACAGTTTACGTCCGCACGCCCGTTCATCTAGGATCCACTACACACACACACACACACACACACACACACACACACACACACACACAGATATATATATATACTAATATTCTAACCACCAAATAGCTTATTACATCAATATCAACACATCAATACCTCACAATATCATTTCATCAGTTCTTGTTTTGTTTGTTGTTTAACGCCGCACTCAGTAATATTCCAGCTATATGACGGCGGTCTGTAAATAGTCGAGTCTGGATAAGACAATCCAGAGATTGAAATCATGACCATCGATTCATGCAATTGGGATACGATGGCATGCATCAACCAAGTCAGCAAGCCTGACCACCCGAACCCGTTAGTCGCCTCTTACGACAAGCATAATCGCTTTTTACGGCAAGCATGGGTTTCTAAAGACCTATTCTACCCCGGATATTCACGGGTCCAGTTCATAAGTGATTCAGTACATCAATTGTAAGTCTTCAATATATCAATTAACCAATATATCAATTCATCAATACTCCAAACACATAGTATGAAGCACATTACGTACACCCCTGACCAAAGTAATCATACATAAAATAGTTAGAGCTCACAGCTTACAAACAATCCAACCACACTCTAATACATACAGTAAGACCCACTAATAAGAAATATATACAGAGTGATCTTAACAATCATAATGTAGAGCATCGCTGCATGTTGACAATGCATTGACACACTTTTGAGAGGCAGTGTTCATATAAAAAATGTGGCGTTTCCTTAAAGCTGATTTAATTCGTATGTCATAAACTATTGTAAACAATACTTTTAAGCATGCAGACCTTTTGATACTCATAAGAAATCACTGTCAAAAGTAGAGTCGAGTATACGATTCCGACTATATACAATAAGTCTATAATACCAGTACAGCTGTATATATACTGAACCGCAAAGGAAGCGTCCCCCCAAGTAACATTGCATGAAAAGTTGTCATTAAAATAACTGGGTAATGTTTGTCAAAGATTCTAAAATTCAACATTACCTTGTCCGGAAAAATGAAAGCAGATGACAATAAAACCGATCGTCTACACGCATCACGGCAACGGCCATGATGCACGTGAGTTCCGTGCAAATTGAAATGCACATGCGTTCCCCCATTTCTTGCCCTATAAAAATCCACCCAGATCGGATAACATTCATTCGTTATTTAATTGCTACCACATGCCAAAATTGACAAGAAATCAGCGACACCAAGCCCGTGGACGATTGTAAGCTGGACAAACCACCCGGCAAGTAGCCAATGCATTTCAAGTCCACGTAAGGACCATATACAGGCTCAAGCAACGGTACCAGACCACCAACACTACAGATGACCGACCACGTAGTGGAAGACCAAGGGTCACCACCTGACGTCAGGATCGTCAGATTGTGCGACAGTGTCTTCAAGATCGTTTTGTTACTGCTGCGGAAACTGCTCGACAGACCACGGGGACACACCAGCGACACATTAGTGCGGACACCGTGCGTCGACGATTGACGAGCAGACACCTCCACAGTCACAGGCCACACCTTTATTAAAAACATGAAAAGGTTTGGAAAATATCTGTTGACAATGAGTTGGCGGTGCCGAGCTTTGCAAATCCTGCAATCGACCGAAATCTGCACGACTGTTTACGAACCCGATTTCGATTTCATTGCGCGATTTTAAATGAACTATGTATAGACTCGTTAGTCCAGCCTAAATGTAACTCCATAATACCAGCCTAGTTCGGCAAGGGTGGAAACTGGACTTTTATAGTCAGTTAACTCTCTTGCCTCGGGAAGATGTTGTGAACATTAAAAAAAACCATTTCGTGAGTCGTGTGCAAATGTTCGTGTATGTTGTGATTAAGTATTTGCAAATTGTGGATGTCATTCTTCATATGAGGGGTGGTCGGGTAGCCTAGTGGTTAACTCGTCACGCCGAAGACCCGAGTTCGATTCCCGGCATAGGTACAATGTGCGAAGCCCATTTGTCGTGTCCCCCGCCGTGATATTGCTGGAACATTGCTAAAAGCGGCGTAAAACCTCACTCACCTACTCACGCTTCATATGCAGTATCAGATAGCACAAATTGATAGAATCTCGCTAGAAGCACATTTCACAATAAATAACCATATGCGACTTGGAACATATTTTTATTCCACAAAGACCTCCTTCTCACACAATGAATAAGTTACATAAATATTGAATTTGAAATACTTTTCGTACATGGCAGAATATAGTCATGGCACCTGTAATGCATCTGTGACAGGTTTCAAATTGTGCAATTTAGTTGTTATCGAACCACACTGAGTCAGATTTTCTCAGCCATTGCATTTATATAAGTATCAAGAAACCCTGAGCTATAAGGCAAAGACAGGTCCATCAGGACACTCGGGTACAAATTTTGATTTAGCTGCGAGCCATTGAAACAGAGCTTCGGTTCTTGGCTCTAAGTTTCTGAAGAGTTCCTTCAGCGGCGTCGGCTCTCTCCTCAGCGTCCTCCAGATCCTGTTGTACCTTGCGGAACTTGCCCAAATTCGTGGCTGCAATTTCCTCCTGTAAATTGTACAAGTGGGTAAATAAGATTTCATTTGTATACTAATGGATGATTTCAATCATGTTTATTGTCTTGCAGCTTCTTGTAATACGTATTGAGAAATGATGGCTTGAAGCTGTACTTACCGCTTCCTCGACCTGTGTCTTGTATATCTTCAGTTTAGCATTCAGTTTGTCGACAGTTTCTTGGAGTCTATCATGCGTCTTCCTGTCCTCGTCAGCCTGGAAGGCAATCTCTTTCAGACGGCGATCAGCAAGACGAGAATTCTTCTGGGTCTCCACATGGCGGTGCTGCTCGTTCTCAAGCTCAGAATCCAGTTCACGAATCTGAATTAGCAAACAAAACATGTAATGAGTGTCAAATATTCAACCTGATTTTCGATTTATACCTTTCACAAAACTTTACGTCGCATTTCTTATATATAATGGAGACGTGACGTGATCAGAAGGATTGCTTTGAATACCTTCTGTTCGAGTTTCTGTATCATCTTCCTTCCTCCTTTGAGTCCCATGGCCTCAGATTCGTCAATTCTCATCTGAAGCTCCTTTACTTGGCTCTCAGCGTGTTTCTTGGCCTTCTCAAGCTGTCTGCTGTGGTCCTGTTCGATGCGGAGCTCATCAGACAGGCGGGTGCAATCAGCAACAGCATGCTTACAATTCTCCTCAGATGTCTTGAGCTGATTGTTCATGTCATCTAGGTCAGACTGTTGGAAGAAAAGTAGATGCTAACTTCCACATTTTTTGGCAGTTCCCTGTACAATACACTGGCTAACGACAGTAAGTCCTCAATGCGGCAATCGTGTTGTACACTTTACCCATCCTTTTCATAATGTTCTTAAAATTCATCGTGACCAGGTACTGGTTGAAGGAAGGACAATATCATCGTGCAACATGAATGGTTTTAATGTAGGAGGAGTATTGATGAAACCATCGGTAATATAAACGAATTGTTTTAACATCATTGTTCTATTTTTCTCGTAAAATGGAATCAATCCTAATGCGATAATTAACTCACTAGCATAGCGGCGATTTCGTTATCAAACTTCCTCTTCTGGCTGGAGATGGAAGTCATCTGGACCGTCAGCTCATTCACCCGGTCTGTGGCGTCGTTCAACTCACTTTCAGCGGCCTTGCGGCTGCGTTCAGATGATTCGAGAGACGTACGCAACTCCTCATTCTCTCCCTTAAGCATGTTACAGCGTCGTTCAAGTGTCTGGCAGGCGTCGCGAGACTCTTCACTTGACCTCTGGAAGTCGTCTACCTTGATGCACAGCTCCTAAAATCACAAATAACATACATGTACATAAAGTCTAATTTCTTTTTCTGCTTAAATAATGTGTCTTACATTGGACATATACATCTCCATGTCAACCAGTACAATACTATTTTCCTTCAAATGCAATATTGCATCTTCAATATATACCTAAAATATACCTTTATTTCAACTTGGCATTTCTTTCCAATTTTCTCAGCGTCTACTCGAGCACGACCTGCAGCATCTAGAGATATTTCAAGCTCGTTGATATCCTGTTCCATCTTCTTCTTCATTTTTATTGCTTCGGTCTTTCCTTTAGTCTCGGCCTCCAGACTGGCCTGGAGGGACTCGAGGGCTCTTTGGTGGTTGCGTCTGAAAAAATATGTATCAACGGATCAAGATTTGAAAAAAATCTAGTTTGCCCCTGTGGGATAGGATACGATCACCGTTATGCAAACATCTGATATCATCATTGTGTGATTATAATTTATAATACATACTTATTATATACATGTGTAGTCGATATTGTACAATGTTTTTTATCAGGAATTTCTTAAGATTAAGGAATGGATATTTTCGCTAAGTCGAATTATCTTTGCTATTAAAATAGACATGTGATGTGATACAATCCATTTAAATTACTAACACGGACTATTGTTTCACTGTATTTTCTCTAGTAGTGAACAGTTGCACGCCTTGTATTGTTTTCTGACCCTACGAGATAAACCAGTGATTTAACAGTATTGGAATCACTAACCGAGTGTTCTCAAAGTCCTCTTCCTTTTCTGCAATACGTCTGTCGATGTCAGCTCTGACCTGAGCAAGTTCCATGGTTATCTTCGTCACCTTGGCCTCTTCCTGTTCCAGAGAGGACTCAGTCTCCTCCAGGGCGGTCTGGAGTTCCTCCTTCTCCATCTGGAGACGTTTGCATGCCTTCTCAATGTCATGAACACCGCGACCTCCATCAGTCAATTGCCCAGTGAGTTCATGGATTTCATCTGATTAATATAGCATAATATGATTACCAAGTCAGACAAAATAGTGGGGCGCTCAAACTTGATATAAGAATATTAATGTATTGTGTCATGCATGTTACTTTTATTCAGTTAATCATTTACAGAAATATATCGATCACATTTCAATAATTTACTAACCAGAAAGGTTCTTGTTCTCTCTTGTTAAAGCCTCAACTTGACCCTGATATTCCTCAGCTTGGCCCTTGAGGCGGAATATTTCAGTCGAGTACGAACGTGTCTCCTTCTGACATCCCTCAAGCTCAGTTTGTAGGGAGGTAACCTTCACCTGCCATTCTTGAACAGTCTTATCAAATAACTTCTGCTTCTTGTCCATAGTGGTGCAAGTGGAGTTGGCCTGAAATGACACCTCACATTTATTGTATTTTCCCACATATAATTGTTTTATGAAATGTCAAACTACAAGGTAATATGCGCTGATACTTATGAATTATCGCTCATAAAAATACGTTTATATTCTTATTTTCATAAATAAATATTTGAAAAATATATATGTTTTATTTTTCTTTAATGTCAGTGCCATACTGATATAGAAACACGTACCCTCTCAACATCAACCATGAGGTCCTCCAACTCTCCCTGCAGTCTACACTTCACTTTCTCCAGAGAATGACACTTGCTGTAGGCTGATTCCATGTTCTGTTCAGCTTCAGTTAGTTTAGCCTGGAGACGGCGCCTGTACATGAAAGCATCATATATGTTATATGGAGAAACGTTCTTGGTACATATAAAAATTGCTCACAACATTTGTACAGAGTGTCTGAAGGAGTTGGTTATTTTAACGTCACTTTGAATTAGAATTTCAGTTATATCATGGCGTGTCAGCTAGATGTGGGAGGAAAAGTACGAAGTGATGCAGGTCACTGACGGTTAACCTCTTTCTTGAAAACCATGGTGTTGACAAAATGTTGACTTTCATCTGAGACAAAATAGTGTTACAATTCAATGTTTCATTTCATTGATGTCAGTACATTTACTTAATTTAAGGAAGCTCCAAAGGCAATTGTATGATTTTGAAAATACCTATTAGAGTACGTAAGTATTTATACAAGATATATATGTATATATGGGTTACCTTGACTCTTCTAATTCGTCCATTCTAGTGATGCCTTCGGTCTCATACTTAGACTTCCACTGCTGAACTTCATTGTTGGCCTTTGTAAGTTGACGTTGAAGAGAATTTGTCTTCTCCTGCTCTTCCTCCAGCTGATCACGGACGTTTTCCATGTCACCATTTAGGTTACGTAGCTCAGTTTGGAGTTTCATGCGAATCTACAAATCACGTCAAATGTTTTGATGAATCGTGATTTATTCTTAGAAAAGAAATCACGTATTTTAAAGATGTTCATTTATTTATCAGCCTGAATATTACACTTACAAAAATATAAGTATTTTATATACTAGCTTACTCTTGTTTCCTCCTCAAGACTATTCTTGGCTTCTTCAAGGTGATTGGACAAAGTGGACTTTTCTTTTGTCAAGTGATTGATGTCATGTTCAACCTCCTCAAGCTGACGAGTGAGGTCCCCACATTCTGTTTGCAGCTTCATTTTAGAGGACTGGAACTCTGTGATCTGTCGCGACCCTTCTTCTATTCTCACATTTAACTCGCTGATCTGGCTCTCCATCTGTTTGGTCATCTTTTCAGAACAACCCTTGAAACAAAAAAGCACGAAGGCATTTAACAACGCCAATCCATGGTTGCCACGGGTTTATTCCTGTTACAGATATGGACAAATTAGTATATGTTATTAGATCACTATGCCCTTAGTAATTGAATGGCCCACCTGATTTCCATATACAATTAACCATAGATCGAGGGAATCTATTGCATCTTTATTACTTAACGTGTACATATTGTTACAGTTATCCGAATAACTCACCCTATTCTTTTTCACATGTTCCAGCTGAGCTTGAAGGTCATCAATTTCTTCCTTCATTGTCTGCTTCTCCTTGTCAAGTCTGGGAAGAATAGTATGATATGTCATTAAAATAAAATTGCTGTACCTTAACCTTGACGATGTAATTACAAAGGCAAGATAATTTTAGAAGTTGTCTGGACAAACTCAGTAAGGAAATGTCATGCAATAGTGATGTATTACAAACATTTTAGAAATATTTAACTTACTTGTTCTTGTGTTTTGTTAGTTGGTCCAGCTGGTCATTGAGCTCGTTCAAAGCATCTTGGTTCTTCTTACGAAGGATGGTAACCTGTGATTCGTGGTTCATAGTATTCTCTTCCAAGTCGCGACGAAGCTTGATGAGTTCCTGCTCCCGTCTCTTATTTAACTCAACCTGTAGATAAGTTTCAATCATTCTTTGTCATCAAAAGATTACCATTATTTCACAATATTCTTCCTTATTAAAGACTGCAACAACTTTTGACACGACAATATCCATGAAATTGAAAATATATTACATGAGCTTTGTTTGAACGTTGCTTACATTTCTCGTTAATATTGAATTGGCCCGTGAAGATCCGGGGTGGAACAGTTCTTCAGCAACCCATGCTTGCCGTAAAAGGCTATTATGCTTGTTGTAAGAGGCGACTAACGGGATCGGGTGGTAGCTGACTTGGTTGATGCATGTCATCGATCCCAATTGCGTGGATTTCAGCTCATATGGATGCATTCGTCACAGCAACAGCACTTACCTGGGCAGCTGTAGCACCTCCAGCTTCATCAAGACGTTCAGACAGTTCCTCCAATTCACGTTCAAGTTCCATTCTCTGCTTTTCAACCTTGTTTCTGGATTGTCTCTCAGCTTCAAATTCTTCTTCAATTTCCTCAATGTGAGCCTACCGCAGACAACACGTTTTACATATCATATTTGAGTTAATGCTACCAAACAATAAAATCAGAACTATCAAAAGTACAGGGGACATAGGGTTCTTTTCAGTGCTTTCAAATATGTAAATGTGTTAGGAATTTCAAATACCTGAAGTTCCTTGATTTTCCTTTGGAGTTTACCAACAAGACCTTGTTCTTCCTCAACTTGGGCATTGAGCGAAGATATGTCTTTGTCTTTCCTGAAAAGTAAATTAAACGATCTCATATAATATCGTGATTCTCGTGTTTTATTCACATATGTCAAAACAAAAAATAGATCTCTTTGATGCTAAAATTAGTATTCATAATGTTTGATGTTGTGAATGCATACCTTTTGATCGTGTCCTCCATTTCCCGTTTAATGCACTGTAGTTCTTCAACAGCTTCTTGGGTTATCTTCAGATCCTGTTCCAACTTTCTCTTGACCTTTTCCACATCTCCTCGCATCTTCTTCTCACGTTGAAGGGTCTCTTCCATATCATCCAGCGAGTGCTCCAGTTTAGTCTTGAGTTTAGTAAGGTGGTTCACCTTGTCCTCTTCAGCTTGAAGAGCATCAGATGTTTTCTGGTTTTGAGATTCAATGTCCTTTTTGTTCTTTGTCAGTTTCGCCAAGGCTTCGTCCTTCTGGGCAATCTCTTCTTCTAGAGTCCTGATTTGGTTTTCTTTAGTTTTGGTTTCCTGTTCGGACTAAAACAAAAAACATTCCTTTTGTAATATATTTATGATAATCGTAAATAATGTTTAGACCTAACATGCAGTTATTATGCCTCATTGGTCAATATGAAATTAAAATCAATATTTGTTGTCTGTTTTATAAAGTTGTTACAATCGTCAGGAATTACTACTGAAGGTTGTATAACTACCTTATCAAGACAGCTCTCAAGTTCTTCAATATCTTTCTTCAGCTCGTTGTTTTCGGTTTCCATTTGTTTCTTCTTCTCAACAGCATCAGCATTTACATCTTCCTCATCCAAGAGACGTTCCTCCAGTTCCTTCAGTTGAGTTTCAAAGTCATTTTTCTGCTTCAGTAGCTGCTCAACTCTTTCTTCACAGTCATCAATTGTATCTTGCTTGGTCTGGACATCAAGGAACAGATCATTTTTGGCCTGCATCAAGGTTACATTCTGTTCCTCGAGTTCCTTTGATCTGGACGTGACCTTCTGAAGCTCTTCTTTTGTTTTGACCAGTGCTTCCTCCTTCTGTTTCATTTCATCTTCAGCAGCTGCAATACTGAGAAGTGGCTTGACCTTGGTGTAGAATCTCCACCAGCACCAGTTCCTCATGGCCAGCCATTTGCGGATATTCTTCTGAATCATTTCCAGGGCAACTCTGAAAACAATAATTTTAATTATTCACTATTTTTATTTTATATTGATCTGTTAACATATAATTAACAGACATAAGAGTATGGTGTGTGCTTGGATGATGACATCGAAACCTGATTTATGATTATTACACTACACACGATAGCCATTAGTATGATTTGTGTCGGGAGTGTTATCAAACGTTTTAAACTCAAACAGTGTATCTTACCTCTTGTCATGAAGATTCTTAAGGTATTTCCTCATCAAGTAGCCACGGATGTGAGCCTGAAAGAGAGCCACGATGGTGGACAGACGCTCATCACGAAGTTCCTCAAGGTAACCGAGGACACCGGCCTTGAAAAACACTTTGGTATTTCCTAGACGGTAATCATCTGGGTTCATCTTCAGCTCCTCAAGAATCTTGCCTGAGACAACCTTACCCTCTACAAAACCTTGAGGAATTGCATTGGGGGCAAGGATAGAATATCTGTTGATGTGAAAAAACATATTTGATAACATTGATGGATAGATTAAAAGGATTAAAAGGATAATTCTATTTTAATGAGTGATCACTTCAGATATTATTATTTTGTAATGTTCAATGTTTTCTATACATTACCTCTGTTTGAATTCAGAGTACACGACTCTGCTGGGGAAGCCCTTCCTGCAGATACGGATACCCTCAAGCACACCATTACACTGAAGCTGGTGGAGCACGAGACCAGCATCAATCAGGCCTGGAAATTATCATTAAATTTGTTTTATTGGTTTCCTGACATGTCCAACAAATTTAACATCAAATGTCTCAAACTTGTATTAAACGATGTAAGAAACGTTAAGCGATTTCTTATGATTATGGAGAGGGTTTTGTTGTTTTTATGGCTATAAATAGAACATAATTGATATGACACCTGAAACTACATATGAAAGCAGATACATATATATTTACCGGGTGTCTTGGTTTCGTTGGGGATTATACAACGCACAAAGTGAGGATGAGTTGTATACAAGTTTTTCATGAGCTTGTTCAAAGATTCCTGAAAATAAACAAATATTGAAATCAAATACATACAAACATCATTTTACCATAGTCAGTTTTGGTAACTTGTTTTTAATCTGTCCAAGAACGTACAAGTGTTCATCTGTAAATGGAGGTGATAGTATTTAGGAATAATTGTACCCTGTGAGTGGCAGAGATGGTCTGGAAGGCAGAGCTCTTCTTCTTCTTCTTGCCACCTCCAGAAGCTGCTGCAGCATCTAAACACAAGAATAGAACATATGTTACACTTGAGAAGAAGGCGGAATTCAATGTAAACAATAATATTAAAATACGATTACTGCACAAACCTCCTTCAGCTGGGGTGAAGAGCAACTGCACAAGTGGTTCTTTAGACTGTTTCAGGAGATCAACAATGGTCTCGTTGACAGGGTCCTTGTTCTTCTCGAGCCAGCCTCCAATGTTGTAGGGAACAGTTCCAGCGTAGTGCTTCAGGGCGAAGTCGCCGTGTTGGCCACCCTTCATTGACTTGTTGGGCTTGAGGAAGTTGGGTGATTTGCCCATGTGGTTCTGAGTCAGTTTGTCCTTGAAAGTCTTGTCAGATGCTTTTGGGAACATGCACTCTTCTTCCAAGATTGAAAGAATACCCAACGGCTGAAACATGGCAAATAGGATTTTCTCTTCTCTTTCTCTTAAACTCCAAAATAACACATTTGAAGATGCTTCGATTCTTAATTTAATATGGAAAATTGTTCTGTTTTAATCTACAGGAGAGAAAGGTAATATCATCTTACGCTGATGTCTCGATAATGCAATTTGAAGACTTGAATACGCCTGCTTATCGTTCACAGTGTGTTCAACACAATTGTTTTAATCCCATTACATTTTAATAAGAATTAATTCAATTAGAATGATTGTATGCATATTACGGGCAGTGTGAACACCTGAGAATTGCATTTAGTATTTTCGTTAAAATGAACTGGTGACGAAGTCATGGCTGTACCTTCTCAATGAGCTCAATACAGGCCTGCAAATCCATGCCGAAGTCGATGAACTCCCATTGGATGCCTTCTTTTTTATATTCTTCTTGCTCCAGCACAAACATGTGGTGGTTGAAGAACTGCTGCAGACGCTCGTTGGTGTAGTTGATACACAGCTGCTCAAAGCTGTTGAACTGTTTTAAAAGAAAATAAATTTAAAATATTACTAACAAAGCCAGTATTTATTAAATAATATTTAATTACAAACAGGCACGAAAACATGACCGCTCACTGAATTATTTTGGTTGATTCATATTGAAAATGAATATTCAACTGTAGATGTTTTAACTTACATCAAAGATTTCAAACCCAGCAATATCTAGCACACCAATGAAGAACTGCCTTGGTTTCTTGGTGTCCAGGGAGTGGTTGACTCTCTTGACCAGCCAGTTGAACACACGATCATACAGGGACTTGGACAAAGCACCAACAGAATAGAGAACCTGATCCTTGGTTCGTCCTTGAGTGACGTAATCCATGGCAACCTTGATTTTGGGTTTACACAGAGCCTTCAGGAAGTCACCACAGTTGACACCCAATAGGAAGGAAACCTTCTCAGCCTCAGCAGTTCCTTCCGGCTCAGCCTGTTCACCCTTCTGCTTGAACTGCATCTCGCCCATGTGGAGGATAGAGCCAGTGCATTTGTAGGCGCTAGTTTTCTCCTCAGCAGTGAATCCCAGGACATCAAAGGCTTCCTACAGAATATATATCAGTATACATATATAGAGTATTCACATCGTATATGAGTGAGTGAGTTGGGTTTAACGCCGCTTTTAACAGTATTACAGTTATATCGCAGCGTGTCAGCTTAATGTAGAAGGCAAGCCCGAAGTGATGCAGGTCTCAGACGTTTACCACTTCGGTGAAACCCACGAGCACGGGTATGGTGCTGACAAACCAAGAAAAAAAATCGGGATTCGAACCCACAATCATAGGTTTCTGGCGTGCCCAAGGGACGCAACTCTGTACAGCGAATCGCGGCGCCTTAGACGACTGGGCCACCCGTGCTCCCTAGATCGTATATGAAGTCAAGCATGAGCAGACAATAACTGAAGAGTAAAGTAGAAAGAATAACCTTTTATGGTGTGTTTCCATACAATTCAGGTATTTTAAGAGTTCAGCGTGTTAAAACATATTCTCACACACCTTACTGGTGTCATTCCCCGGTAACTATAATACCATCGTTGCAAAAAAATGAATTCATTTCCTCTTGTACTCTAACATGTAGCAAAATTACGCCAATCCTAACACCCATTTGTGTGACAATATGTTTTTATCATGTTTCTTACGTCAGTCATCTTCATCTCCTCAACATCGTCGATGCCGTTGACTGTAAGGACTCCCTGGTTGATAAAGGTGTACAGACCAGCATCAGATTTGGCCACAATCGTCTCTGTAAAATAGAAAACGTAAACTTTATTCATAGAACTAGTTTTAATTCTTATTGTGTATCATGGTATTGATGTTAAAAAAAGCCATGACAGTAAGCATGTGTGTATAAATGAGCTTACCTAATACTGATGGGACAGCATTTGATAGTAACTGGTAGAAAATGTGGTAATTTCTCTCAACAGATTGCTGGTAGGTGACACGGGACTTCTCCAATAGGTCTGTAAAATATTATATGTATGATGTAAAATGTCATCACACTTGACATTACACATGGTACTTAGTACTCCTTGTTTTGCAAGACATTTTTTTTATAATATATTGTTCAATATATGGTTGTTTTTCTTATTACGATAACTTTACAAATAACAATGTGACAAACACTACTTACATGTTTCAATGTCAGCTCCGGCGATTTTTCCGGACGTGGCGAAATGGATCCTCACAAACTTTCCCTGTCAAAGGCATATTCGTGTTCATTTACAAATGATGATTACCGTATATGTTAACAGTACTGTATAGCGTCAACAGTGGCTTTGCGTTTAAAATCTTGACAGAAATATTTACTAAATACAGACTTTGACAGATAATGACTGTGCTATATCGGATATAGACTACAACAGATACCAGTATAAACAGAGATAATGCAGGTTCAAAACATTCTTTCTAATTTCTGTAAACTTACGAATCTGGAGGAGTTGTTGTTACGGGATGTCTTGGCGTTACCGTAGGCCTCAAGAACGGGATTGGCTTGCACGATTTGATCCTCGAGTGACCCCTGGAAATTACACAGTTTTCTCTCTTAGAAGTTGGTGGTTGTTTTATTTTTGAAGTCAAAAGTTCACACTGTAAGCTTGTATCATAACAATGTAGTTTTCGACAAAATAATGGGCAATGGGTGGCCAAGTGTGTATCGCCGTGATTATCATCATTGTTTTGTCAAAACAACTGGTACTCGTGGTAGAAAAGGTTCTCTTTTACTAACTACTGTTCAAAGCTACTGTGGGGCGGTCGGGTAGCCTAGTGGTTAAAGCGTTCGCTCGTCACGCCGAAGACCCATGTTCGATTCCCGACATGGGTACAATGTGTGAAGCCCATTTCTGGTGTCCCCCGCCGTGATATTGCTGGAATATTGCTAAAAGCGGCGTAAAACCATACTCACTCACTCAAAGCTACTGTAAATGATATGATATTGTTATTAATTAATATGACTTCTGTGTATAGCGCTATACTATCTAAAGAAAGGCAAATTTTGTTTCTCACTGTTGTTTTCTGGGATTGTTTTGTAAATATTAAAAGGCGTCATCTTCAATGTCCTGGATATGTTATTTGGGTAGATTTTCTCAGGCTTTTAAAATCTCACCTTCTTTTCCTCTTGTTCTCCCTCTCCCTTGGAGGCGGCAGCAACAAATGCGAAGTAGGCGATGACCTTCTTGGTGTTCTCAGTCTTTCCGGCTCCCGATTCGCCACTGATTGTCACAAAATTGTGTGTAAATATGATCACATCATACATAACCATCAACTATTAGCGTTTTAGTAATCGGTAGCATCATTTCTTCCTGCATTTATTTAAATGATTTATTCAATGATATATCATCTTTATAAAGTGTTAGGATAAGTAAATGTCTCGGGCGTGTCACTTACGTGATCAGCATAGACTGGTTCTCGCGATCTGTAAATATGAATGGATATGCATTATCAAGTAAACAATAATTGTACAAATATATAGACGTCAACAATATATAAGAACAAGTCCCGTGGCAATTTGGGGACGGAGCGGGTCCTCAGCCCCCCGTATTTGTCGTAAGGGCAACTTAACAGGGTAACTGGGGATTACGAAGAGTGATATTGATGATTGAGTGTTATATTATACCGATGGCTTGAATCGTTTCCCATGCTTGAAACAAATGGTTTGTCTCATCCAGACTCAAGCATGTACAGGCCGACGTAATATAGCTGGAATATTGCTAACTAGGGCACAACACAGCATGTACCTATTCACTCATTTGTACAAACTGCTTTATTGACAGCACTTTTATTTACGACATTATTTACGTCTTGGCCATGACGATGCATGGAAATGCACACATTAGCGGTTAGTAGTGTATTGAGCTGCGGTTTACAATAAACCGTTCATAGATTAATGTTATAAGCGGGAATCATTACCTTGCACCATGAACTGGTAGGCGTTGTCAGAAATGGAAAACAAGTGAGGAGGCATCTCGGTCTTCCTCTTGCCTCTGTACTTGGCAACGATGGACGGGGTGTAGATTGGCAGACGGCGGTAGGGGTTGATGGCGATACAGAACAGACCGGAATAGGTCTGAGGAAAAAGTCTCATGTAAATACGAGGTATTTTTTGAAGATTATTTTCAAACTTTGAATTGGAAGTTTAGACGAAATTATCAAATATACTTTGATTGACGTCAGGAAATCCCTTGCTCGTTTTCTTATCTTTGTGGCATCTATGAAAATATTTTTTTCCGACAGTTGCGTAAAACATTCGTACTTACATAAATCAAGCCAGATGTGTATCTGGCCCTGAGATTGTACAGGACGGCAGCTTCGTTGAGGTAGGTCATGTTGGCGATATCCTCGATCTTCTCAAATTTGGGAGGGTTCATCGATTGAACTTCGTCTTTTTTGAACGTCTTAGTCTGAAGAAACAAACAATTTAGAGGATTGTATTTAATTATGCACATTTGTTAATTAAACTTTCATAAATGTCGTGAGAAGCGACACCTCTTTGTTTTCGGGTATTCACATTTCACAATCAGCTGTACATAACAATACGTGCAGTTGAAATACCAGTATCTTATTTGTAATACCTCATTTGTCTCAAGGATGAGGACAGTCACTTCTTCGCCCTTCGTGCTCTTAAGTTCTGCAGCACGGAAGCCTTGTTCAGCGTCGGGGGCCCAGCAAGATTTCTTGGCATCAAAGGTCTGCTTCTGCTCTTTCAGCAGCTTCTTGCGGTCCACAGCAAGATACTGCATCTCAGGGTCGGTTGGGTCGTAAGATGCCATATTGACTCAGTTGGCAAACAGTCGATTGTAATAATTGTCAATTCAGCTCTGTAATGAAAAAAAAGGAATTCTCATCTGTTTTTAAAAATACGTTAATAAGTTGGCTAAATGCAAAAGCTAGTTGTAATATAGGTTGGTTGGTTGGTTTGTTGTTTAACGCCGCACTCAGCAATATTCCAGCTATATGACGGCGGTTGTAATATAGGAAGATCCCAAAAGTGTCCCATCTCACCAACACCATCGATGGGTTAGACGTAAATATCACTAAATCAAACGTAGGACATTCCGTTGTTAGCTATAAGCAACATAACAGTACTTACTACTTGAGCTGTTCTGGTTTCTCTAGTGAAGCATCGGCTATAAGTACCCGCTTTCCAGAGTGACCATTATGTAACCTGGCTTCCTATTGGTTTAGCGACATGTCTGTGGCCAATGAGAAAGCATGTTGGGCATACGGGTTATGTTTCCCCAGATGTACAGTTAATTGCTATCACTGAGTTTGTTGCAGAGGTGTATGTAATGTTGGCTGTTGTCGCTACAGGGAATCTAGGTCCCGTTTTACCAAAGAGCTATTGAATGATGAGACGTCATGATCTTGCTCATACTGTCATGATACATATATTTGGTACATGTTTAAATGGAATACTGCATGTATGACATGTTATGATGCATGTGGTTGTGAATATGTACGTCATTCAGCCTCAGTGATTAATCATTTCTTCAGAAACGGTCTGTTGGTATCTTTCTTATCCGTGTTGATGGGTTAAACCATCGCTGTAAAGTCATCCTACGTTAAATTGAAACGCCATAAAATAAATATAAGTGGTATTGAATCCAACTCACTATCTCTCAAGAATCTTTACAAACGTCATAATTTCAAGTTGTTGTTTTTTCATATTTTGGACACGAACCTTGAGAAAACCATTCTTTGTCTTTCATGAGTGTCTTGTGTGTAATCTGAACTCAAAACAAACGTAATAGTTTCATCTGTCATCACCATAGTTACTTTCCCCTTTGATAATAGCCCAAAATAATTTTGATGAAAATATGACAACCATTAATGTTTTGGAAGTATGAGTTTACAGATATACATTTTTTTCAAACTTCCAAGACGTTCACTGATGGTATAGTTTCATCAAAATTAAGTGGGTTCATTTAATATATATATTTTACATATAACATATAGATGATTCCACTAATGCTGATCAGCATATTTGCATGTATATACATATATATCCCTGATGCAAATATGCTGATCAGCATTAGTGGAATCACGGACTTGTATAGGTTATATACATCCGTGGTGGAATCTGAAATATATATCACTGTTAAGTCTCTACCAATATCACCAAGAAAATTAACAGTAATTCCCTGTACCGATAACGGTAAGATATTGTTTACTTTAGAATTGCGATCAAAAATAAACTGGATTTGTAACTTTCCTTTGATAGTGTACTGTGTTCGCGAGATATTTAGTTGACAGGGGAGTAATTGTGTTAAGCTCATGTATTCAATATTAGCGTCCATGAAGGTCTATGGGTGGCAAATTTACTACAAACAATGTTTCACTCTGCTCATGTCTCAGTGAAAGCATTATACACGACATGCATTCTGTCAGATGTTGTAAATATATTTTCACCGCTGTGCCAATGATATATATGTTATCAGTAACGCGCTAGTAATTAATAAACTTTATAAGTTATGGGAGATTTTATGCGTGATCGCAAATACTTGAACTTTATGAAAAAAACATGATTTCATGTATGATTGAATGTGTATTATATATGTTCGTCATAGTTGTCTCATAAAACATGCTTTGAAATAATAATTCATATTTGTTGATGAGTATAGTTGAAAAATATTTCATCAAACTTCATAACATGTTTTACAAATGTCTTTGCAATTACATCGTCTGAAATGTCATCATTTTATATAGATTACCATAATATGTCTAAATAGCAAATGATAGCAGCCAAAGTGTACATGTACATTCTCGCGCGGCATTGTTACCACCGAGACATCATGTAATCGATGTGGAATATTGCACCCTGCTGTTTTACTTTGGGTAGCTGAATGCACTTGGGTAACACACTGCTATTCCATATGCCTATCAGCTGGACGTGAACACTTGCCCCCTGTCGTTTTTGTCTCTGGTCGAACTAATTTGTCGCGTGGCGAGTGTTGCACGGACGTAATAACACACGGAGCTTTAAATATGTAAGAGGATACTTTTAATGAATCGTTAGAGAGCTTTTATATGGACAGGGTTTATGTATTTGAGAGAAAAAATCACGAAATAGGACCGCGTTCGATTGTATGCATATTACAGGCAGTGTGAACACCTGAACATTGCATTTAGTATTTTCGTTAAAAGATGGCATCTGTTGTTTCTCTTTGACAACATTTTTACTCGTCTATTGCATGGGATGAATTACAACACAAGCTTAATTGTGTATTAGACCTTAGCATATTTCATGGATTTTCATCTATTCTTCGTAAGTGTGCCATTGTTTTCGTTGTATTACGTTGATGTCAAATAACAGAAGATGTGTCGCAGGTGGTGTTTCAGCAATATTTGTCTATGCTATTAAAAAAAACACAAGATAGTCAGGACTATCGCATGACTAGGAGCTCGAGTGTATATCTGTGATGTTTCGTATCTACACCAATAGTTTACAGGTTCTTTGCAGTATTTCTGGTGCATACAATGTAGTATTTATGGTGTATACAATGCCGTATTTATGGTGTATTCAATGTAGTATTTTCGGTGTGTACAAAGCCAATCGATAATCCAGTCAGCTGATTCGTTAACCTCCATCAGGTCTCTGATTGACCACTAAACAACATAGATTATCCTCATTAGATGGCTGATTGAACACTAAATAAACAAGGATCACAAGGATCGAACAGGTGTCTTATCAACCTCCAATGAACAATGACTGACACTAAATAAAGATGATCACCCTCGATCAGATCTCTGATTGACCACTAAATAAACAAAAATCGCCCTCGACCAGGTCTCCCACTGACCACTAAATAAACAAGACATTTCCAAGGATAAGATATACGAATGAACAACTTCTTTATTTACAATAGGAGCGACGTTTCGGTGTTGGTCCTAACACGGTAATCAAGCAAGTGGTAAGGATAAGATATATGGATGAACGTCACTCCTAATTGTAAGAAAGATGAGATAGAGAAGAGACAAAATTCCTTGGTCTCCCGCTATGGCAATGCATATGTATATCATCTGTTTAATCATTACATATTGTATGAAAGTTTATTTTCTGCCAATTCATGTATATGTAATTAAATTAAATGTATCTATAGGTCGTAAATTGAAAAAGTGTATTCCTGTTTCTTCTCACGATACACAACATTGTGAGATTCAGATTAATTTATTTACTAATAGAAACCACCTACGTACGGTGGTACAAAAGTACAATATATTATCAACATTAGACAAATATACATAGAACAATTTAAGACTATATTAAAATATGTATACTATGTTTAAATTATCATCAGGATGAAGGGCTTTGGAACTCATTCATGAGTTAAGAAAATTTACATAAATTTCGTAAGTGTGTAGTGCTGTTGTTCGGGAAAAGTGTTGCCAATTTATTGGTAATGGGGGGCTTATGATAATATTTGAGGATGTGTGGAGATCTTTAGAGAGCAACGAATTCACATTTTAATAAATAATGATATTCATCAGCTACCACAGGGGAAGTTACATAGTTGGCATGTTCGTTCTTCTTTTATTGTTATTTTTTTAATGTACCGGTTTCTAACGGAAATATATGATTACAAATTCCAAAGTTTTAAAGGGGAATAGATATGTTTGGTATTTTTCAAAGGAGAGCTCAGTATTGATATACCAATATAGATTGCCTTTAGAACTAGATATGTTATTGCACTGCCATTCTTGAAGAAACTGGCACTTTGTAGTATCTTCGATATGGTTTTTGAGCCACTTAGTCGTAACTGAATAAGAATTATCCATCTCGTTACATAAACCACAACGGATTGGTATATTGGTTATACATTCTAACCACTTATTATTATTTCCATTACTTCTTGAATCGTGATTGTACATAATGATAAACGAAGTGTCAAGCTTGTGATTACTAGCTGCTGTTTTATGCCCGAAGTTTATCATTGTTTTATATACCTTAAACGAAGTGGCATTCTTCCAAATTCGACATGAAGTTTGGGGTACTGTTCCTAAGCCTTGTTGACATTTTTAAAATTTAAGCTGTAATGTCTCAATGATTCCGAAATTTTCATTTCCCAATATTTCGCAGCCACATTGGAGAATTGGTCTTACCAATACATCAACACAGTTGTCAACACAGGATAAGAACAAAAGAAGTTGAGGTTCGGTGCGAATAACAATAACCACGGAAGTAGTTGTGTGAGGCGGATTATCTCTCTGAAAGAAATACCAACCGTTTCTCCATTGAAAAACATTTTTAATATTTTCAAAAATATAAAATCGTCAATAATAACTTGTTGTTAAACATCAGGATCAAGATATTATTTGACAACGGGATGACTGTCACGGTAATTTTATTACGCCAGAAGAGAAACACGTGCCTAATTATGATATCTACCTGAAGAAAAAGAATGTTTGTTCTCATGAATCACATACGTGACACACAGAAATAGTCAACAACGAGTAAACATTCATCAGTAGAACATACCAAGCCACATGTTTCATAATTCGATATCTTTATAAGAAAGGGGTTATAACTAAATGGAGTATGAGATTCCAACTTTTCAACGTTTGGACACCTACAACTCTCAAAGCAAAGGGCCTTTTTTAGGAGATTGCAACTATATGCTTGACTCTTAAATGCCCATCAAATGCTTCATGTAAAAATGAAATTCAACTCCGTTTGTACAATAAAAACCAAACATTAGGCCATCTGCCAGTTTGGTCGAAAGCTGATAATTAAACTTTATGAGCCATATGTGGGCACGACACTGAACCATGGAGACTGGCAATTTGTGTATCACAGTGGCAATATACTCGATTAGTTCATGTTGACCAAGTGTTATGTAGACGCTCAAGGAGATAGCACACGCTACTGTTTACAGAGCGATTCGGTCCACGGTCTGCTGCCCAGTAGAGGCCTAGACGCTGTAATTAGTGCCACGTGTCGAACTGGGACATTGTAATGAGGGTAATCAACACATGATTAATTGGTATTCAGCATACTACTGGTATTTCACATAGTACTGGTAGCCAACATAGTACTGGTATTCCACACAGTACTGGTACTCCACACAGTATTGGTATTGGATTATTCACGTTGCTAAACTGCTTTTTTCGATATGTACAATCGATATATTATTTATATAGATCATATTGTTGTATTCTCTGTCAATTATTTCCCTTTGTCGGGGTGCCAGGGCATTCTAGACATACAGGCATACGTATAAATATCTATAGCCCATTTTGCCACAGATTACTCTTTTGTACTTTAAGATATGGAGCCAAGATCACATAAGTCCCCGACCAATTAGCCTCGGTCAGCTCCTCACAGTGATAGTTCGTTCCATATATGTACGGAAGGTGGTGGGATAGCCTAGTGGTTAAAGCGTTCGCTCGTCTCGCCGAAGACGGGTTCGATTCCCCACATGGGTACAATGTGTGAAGCCCATTTCCGATATATTGCTGGAATATTGCTTAAAGCGGCGTAAAACCATACTAACTCACTCATATTCTTACTATATGTACACCACAGGAGATGTGACACGCACCATGATAGACGCGTGCATGCGTTGCTCTTTTTTAGGTGACACAAACATGCAGTCTGTGGTTACTATCACTCATCTCACCTGTCTCTCTAATCACAAATGTAAGTTCATATGTAGAACACAGAGAAACAAGGAAATTAAAGTAACTGAACATGTAATACACACACTGATGGAAATGGATAAGGGAACACTCAATTTTAGACACAGTAAAATGATATGCTATCATGGGTTCCCAGTCTTGTCTACCAAATATGCTTTTGAAACAACGCACACAAACGCATCTCAACATTTGATTCTGACATGTTGAATTTGTATGCGCGCTATTTCAAATGTACTGACTGTAAAGCTTCTTTCCTGATATTTTTCATTCTATCCTTTTTCGTTTCCCTCAGTATATATAAATAGCAAATCATTTTTACGTCCATGTATATAATGGTATAGCCTCATAACATAAGTCTTCATGGTGTAGCTTGCATATATGTAGTGATGCACATTTTGCCATGTTAATATGCTATGTATACCCATGATGACGCTGAAAGAAACCATCTGTCTGTATTTAGCTCCGTGTTTCAATTTATCAAAGCTGATACCCTAATTTTGTATCAAAAGAGTCAAAGAGAGACATGTACAGACGCACACAGAGATAACGATGAATAATTATGTTTAATTTGGAAGCATTGAAACTCACCTGCATCAGCTTAAACATCGCATTCAGAAGCTGAAATCCTCAACATAATTCTGATTAAATGCCCTATATTATTATTAGTATGAAACCTCTTTTTGCTGCACTGCAAGTTCTGTGAAATTTTGACATTCTGATTGAATTTTGGCGTCGACCTCGACATTGTTGCATAACTCTTTATACTCTTTATTACAGCGTGTTTATGTTACTTAACCTTAACAAGAATATAGTTTACTTTACTGTTTGAAATTGTCAATTATCACAGTAGCCAACCACGATTAAAACAACACAGTTGCTGGTTATTTAATAATTGATGCTTTGTTTTCCAGTTTTCTTTTCAGTCCAGGTTCTAAAAATGCGTATGTGTATCTTAAGTAGAATAATATAAATAGGTCTACGCATCATCATCCATGTCCCTAATTGCAATCGACAGATCGCGAGGACGATTATAATTTTGTCTCTTACGCCTAATTAACGTACTGTCGATAATATTCATTATTATGGAATAAATTAAATAGAAAAAAATATCTCGTCTGCCTATGAAGATCTAGTAAAGCAATAGGCTTTCAGTTAGTACCCAATCTGCTTGTCACAAGTTTTTAATTCTTATGCTTACTGTACATCTGGTGCCATTACCGCTGTGCTTCATTTATCGATGAAATATTTAAAGTAGTACGAAAAAAATTTAACAAATATACAAAATGTCCATGCATGACATGCTGTCATCATGTCACACAATAATACTTTATGTGTACATGCTTATTCTTTAGTACGTTTTTGTGCCAAATCCGGTGGTTTGGAGAGAATAAAGTGTTTCTGTTTCTAATTACCTGTGTGTCATTTGTTATTCTTACTGTACATCTGGTTACATTCAGTTATCTGTGTGCTTCTAATGGGAAAATATCTGATAAACTGGCAGGAACCTTTATGGAAAAATAACGCTCATACTTGAACACGCAAACTCCTTACTTATAGGTTTGTAAAGACTGTTTGTGCAGTGAAAACTATGTCAAGAGCTGTATGCCCCGGAGTTACCGTTCTGCCCTTGCTAAATTAAATGTGGTATTGCACCTTTAAGAATCGAAACAGGCACATATATCAATTTAAAGGTTGAAGACAGAGTGTGTTTTAACTATAATGATCATATTGAAGATGAAGGACATGTTTTATTCCAATGTCCATTATAAGATTATCTAAGATCTACATTATTTACGAGTATAAGGGCTAAAATGTCCAACTTTTCAAACAATGCGAAATTGTGTATCCTTTTTACACATGAGGTATTTTTCACTGCCCAAACCTGCTTTTGAATATTACAACGAAGAAAACTATTGTTATATGGGTAAAATATTTTTATCTCCTTCTATGTGTGCGTGTGCGTGTGCGTGCGTGCGTGCGTGTGTGTTTGTGTGCGTGCGTGCGTGCGTGCGTGTGTATGTGTGTGCGTGTGTGTGCGTGTGTGTGCGTGTGTGTGTGTGTGTGCGTGTGCGTGTGTGTGCGTGTGCGTGTGCGTGTGTGTGCGTGTGCGTGTTCGTGTGCGTGTGTGTGTGAAAAGTTTGTCGTTTCATTTCGAAGATGTGATGAAATAGTGTTTTGACTATTTTATTGAAATGGGATTTATTAACAGAACTTGAACCAAAGGAATCACGAAAACAGTGCCTCGGTTGCAGCGGTGTGCTTTTTTGCCCATTTTCCGTACTCGGCGGATCATATGTGTTTGTTTATTCACCCGTGATACCCGTGAAGATCCGGCTTAGAATATTTTTTCAGCAACTCCATGCAGTGTGGAAGCACCCGTGAAGATCCGGGTGTTTCTTCAGCTCATGCTTGCCGTCATAAGCGACTACTCTTGTCGAAAGCGGCGACTGACGGGATCGGGTGGTCAGGGTCGCTGACTTGATGGATGAATGTCATCGTATCCCAACTTCGTAGATCGATGCTCATGATGTCAATCACTGGATTGTCTGGTCCAGACTCCATTATTTACAGACCGCCGTCATATAGCTTGAATAATGCTGAGTGCGGCGTTAAACAACTTACAAAAACAAACAAAACCTACCTATGTCCAGATCTATGTTTCCGTCGTAATTGATATCTTAGCCAATAACATTGCTGGGATGTGGTATCGTCTAACTGAGAAATTATCGAAAGAAAATTCACCCACTTCATTAGATTGAGTGAGTGAGTATGGTTTTACGCCATTTTGAGCAATATTCCAGCAATATCACGGCGGGGGATACCAGAAATGGGCATCACACATTGTACTTTATCCACTAAGCTACCCGCCCGCCCCTCCACTTCATTAGATCACACATTAGATGATCCCCAGCAGATATTCCAGGTCAGTTAAGCTATGCTTGTCTTAGTGACTAAATACATCGGGTTTTCAAGTTGTGTGACCGGGTTATCATACCCCCGCTGTGTGTGACGTTGCGCATAATATCATCACTGGCATGATTTCTCTGCTCCAGATTCGATTATTCACAGGTCCCCGTGAAATAGCTAAAATATTGCTGACTGTGATGTTAACAACAAACAGTCAGTGGACGCGAGAACGTCATCGGTCTGACGTATGATGTGTGATGAGTGTGTAATGCCCACACCATAGACCTAGTACACTGCAGTTGGTTTTTATTGTCCAAGTTACATAAATATAGTAAACTACGGTTATAACGAACTCAAAGGAACCGCTTATTTTAGTTCGTTATAAGCATATATGCAACGTATATACAGCAAATGGCCGGGACCAAAAAGATCAGTTAGTTGTATCCACCACTTCGTTATAAGCCTGTTCATATAAATGTAGTTTACTGTAAACCCAAACTCTAAGTGTCACACAACTTCGTTATATGGAGGGTACACATGTCCAGTTGTATCGTCCAAAGAACAATGTTTAATTTCAAACCATAACAAAAACTCATTCCAAGTTATATACATATATATTTATTGCATACAAAAGAGACAGTATTTGAATATTACAACTGTGAATGAATAGGGAAGAGAATTTATGGATGTCAACTTCTTTATTCTGAGGAGTAGCATATATTCCGAAACGTTGTGTTCCTCATAATAAAGAAGTTGACATTCATAAATTCTCTTCCTTATGTGTATCACTTGTAAATGTCTTTCAAAGACTTGGTGAATAAATTATATAAATATTCGGAAGGAGTTGTATCCAATAATCATTTATAACTTCCCTGTTAAGCATCGTTCAGTTCACAGAAGCATATTATATGACTGGTATTATATTAATTAGATGTACATATTGCTCTGATCCTCTGAATGTACACCGACTTGAGCAGTTTCAATGAATAATTGAATTCATGAATGGCATACATATCACCAAATAAATTAGATAAAAAACACCGATTCTCATGTTTGCAACTTGCTATTCCAGATCGCATCATCCTAGGGTTTGACCAGGAGGGGTGTTGAAGGTCTTTCTATACAAGATACATGCCGAAAGAGTTCATCCTGATCCTGACCATGAACTGGATCTAGTAAGAACTATCGGTGTAGGCGTTGTAAGTGCGAGTCTTCCTACTGTAGCTTTCCATGGTGTCCTCAGCCATGCTGGCTCTGGTCTGAGCTTCCTCCAACTCCTGCTTCACCTTACGGTATTTGTTCATGTTCATAGCCACCATCTCTTCCTGCATAGGAGAAAAAACAATTATTAGTGAGTGAGGTGAAACAAACTTTCGTCAAATGTGTCATTGAATCTTAAAGTTAAAGTAAATATGTAATGATTTATCTATAATTACTATGTTCTGACCTTGCATTATTGAATGAACCTTGTATTGTGCGCAAAGTAGTCATACTTACAGCATCTGCCAACTGGGACTTGTAGAGCTTCATCTGACCGCTTTGCTTGTCAATGATGCCCTGCAGTTGGTCAATGGTCTTCTTGTCTTCATCCACCTTGTAGGTCATCTCCTTCACACGACGCTCGTTATGGCGACAATTCTTGACAGATTCACCATGGCTCATCTGTTCCTTCTCAAGTTCATCCTCAAGGTCTCTCACCTGGGGAAGAAGGAATGCAATGATGTAAATAGAGATTACTAGCCGAGTGTGTTTTTATATCGTACATATACCATACATCAATGGCAAGCGTAATTTCTATTTCACATTTCTAATATATGATATTTACGATACCGAAACATTAGAGAGTAAAGGCATCTTTATGATATAATGTCAACTTTAAAATAGCCAAATTTTAAGAAGATATTTTCTCTAACTAATATAACTTTTTGAATCGCGTATGAATATAATGACATGAATGAACAGCCCTATTTATGATATAGTTCCAAATGAGTTGCTATGTTGCTTTACATATGCGCTCGCACATAAAAAAATACTATGTTCATTGTATTGGTATTTTGGATATGATAAACATGTATTCTTTTTCAGAGGGATGGAAACAAACAATTATCACCATTTCAATGTATACGTATGCAGTAAGAATCATTTTAAGTAGAAATGTAACTAAATAACCTTGTTAAGATACTTCCCTAATTTCATGGCATATATCATGTTATATAGTTTTGGCGAAAACGTACCATTTTGGCTTTGGTCATCTCATACGAACTGGCCTTTGCAATGGCGGTAGACAGATTGTGTTCAGCTTCGTTAAGTTTGATCTGGATTCGGCGTCTGAAGATCAAGCATCAATATTAATGCATAAATGTTTTTGTCCTAACTTTACTTAACAAACAATTATTGCACAGCGATCTAGGATAAAAGCGCGGCTTTCCAAAGATTCCACAAATAAATGATGTAGCGTTCTATTTCCGTACCTGGACTCCTCAAGCTCTTCGACCCTGACAGTGCCTTCAGTTTCATACTTGGATCTCCATTGAAGCATCTCCTGGTTTGACTTGGACAGCTGACGCTGTAGAGCTGCCCGGGCCTCCTGCTCCTCCGTAAGCTGTTCCCTGAGACTGACCATGTCAGTGTTCATGTTCCTCATCTCAGTCTGGAGTCGTTGACGCACCTGAGGAGATAAAAGTAAGATATAAGTTCTGTTAAATGTTTCACATGCCAACAGAATAGAAGCAGAATAAGAATTGAATTTAGACTATAATTAATAAGACTAAATGATATTGGCGTTCTTTCTGTCTCATACACATCTGATATGTGATACATACTCTTTGTTCATCATCTGAGGAGCGTCTTATCTCTTCTACTTGGACACATAGGGAAGACTTCTCCTTGCTAAGCTTTCCAATTCGTGTTTCAGTCTCCTCCAATTGACGGGTAAGGTCAGCGGCCTCAGCCATGAACTTGTTCTTCTCCGTCTGCAGTTCGCTGATCTGGTGGGTTGCTTCTTCCACCTGGGTGTTCAGCTCAGCCATTTGGTTTTGCATCTGCTTGGACATCACGCCGGAACATCCCTGTATACGAAACATACAAGTTCATTTTGAAACGTTTATTATGGAATTGAGAATATATATGCCCGTCAAATATTTATGTACATGTAATAGTATATGTAGAGTCTGACTGCGATTTATGTATATTATACATACCGTATAATATTGTAATTATTCTAATTAGCAGTGATCTCTGACCTACCTTGTTTTTCTTGGCATGTTCCAGTTCATTTTGAAGCTCATCAGTTTCAGCCTTTAATTGGTTCTTTTCCTTCTCCAATCTGCAACGTTATAATCATAATGTATTTTGAGGTAAGTATGACCGTTACATGTTCCTGAATAATGAAGCGTATACAATTTCTGTAAGGTTTTTTTTAATATCATTTTTGGGTTGGGGTTGGGGTGGGGAATGGGTGTTCAGGGAGGGTAAGTATAATGATTTCATACGTTTTAATACCAACATTTGTACTCATACAAAATACATTTATTCATATTATCCACCTTTGTTTGACTTTCTGAAGCTGTTCCATTTGGTCATTCATCTCAGTCATGGCGTCCTTCTGCTTCTTGCGGAAGTTGGCAACCTGAGACTCATGCTGGGATGACGCTTCCTCCATGTCGTGCTTCAGCTTTTGAATCTCAGTGTCCCGCTTCTTGATGACGTCCGACTGTTGAAACGTGTTAAACAGTTAATACTGTTCATGTTGCACATCTTTAATGTAGTACTAATATAGTAGATTAATGTAACCAAAATTTCCTTGGGGATTACAAGTGTTATCTTATTTTATGTAATCTTTATATATTTCGAAGACACTTTTAATAATTGTAGCCCACCTGTGAAGTAATGGTGGAGTTGGCTTCTTCATGACGTTGTGTCATGTTGTCCAGTTCATTGGCAAACTGTGTTCTCTGCTTCTCTACCTAAACGGATAAGATATAATTACGATATAATTGTGTGGTATGACAGGTGTTATGATGGATTTATATGCATATTCATACATTCTGGACACTGGACATACAAACTATGCTTTACCTTTGATCTTGTCTGTCGTTCAGATTCAAGTTGTTCCTGACACTCATCAAGATTATTCTGGAGAAGAAATTGGTATTGGTAATTCCGTTGAAATGGTGCGAATTAATTGTATATTTAAACGTTATTATTCACATTAATTTATTCTTAGCCGTCTTAGCGTATATTTAAACAGCAATTTGACGTTTCATGTATTACTGGATTTTCTTTTGACAGATTGGTTCTTTTCTTCTTCGAAATAAAAATCAGACAAATCTATCTGAGTTATGAATCACAGTTACCTGGAGATCCTTTATCTTCTTCTGTTGTTGGTTGCCATGTGTCTCAGACTCCTCCAGCAGAGACATGAGCCCAGTGATCTCCTTCTCCTTCCTGGAAATAGTTAATGTAGCGTGTTCACAAATAAAACATCAGTGAAGACTTGTGATAAAAAGTTATTACATGTAAGAGGAAAAAAGGAATAGGACAGCAACATATTAACATAAGAAAGTGCAATGTAGTGATTTTTTCTCGAGTAGTGCTCACTTCTTTATAGTTTCCTCTGCATCTGTCTTCAAACTATTCAGATCTTCACAGTTGCTCTGGGAGACTTTCAAGTCCTGTTCAAGCTTCTTCTTAGTCTTTTCCACATCCGTACGGACCTTCTTTTCATGTTCAAGCATGTCTTCAAGCTGTAAAATGTTTACATCTGTGAAATATTGGATGAATATTGGAATAAAATAAAATAATTCCTTTCAAATAGTATCTATATAACATAGATATAAATAAATTATCAGTGACCCAAGTTATCTTTCTTAAACTGTCCTACCTCTACAATAACACCTTCTAGCTTCTGCCTTAATTTGTTGAGATTTGCACATTTGCCCTGTTCTGTCTCCAGGTCTGACTTGGTCTTAGTTAGTTGATCTTCAACGTCCTTCTTCCCCTTTGTGAGCTTTGTAACAGTTTCACCCAACTGTGCAGTTTCATCAGTTAGAGCTCTTATTTGCGAATCCTTAGCTTTGATGTCATGTTGGCTCTGAAGAGAAACACAATTATATGAATTCCCGTCAGTAACATTAATGCAATATTTTGAAATATAACTGATGTGTTATTTACAACAAAAAGACTTACCGATGTCATTAAACATTTACCTTTGACACTGCACCCTCAAGGGATTCCACATTTGTCTTGAGGTCACAGATTTCAGTGTCCATTTGTTTTTGCTTTTCAGTTAGCATGGCATTGTTAGATTCTTCCTCAACTATACGATCATTGAGTTCCTTCATTTGGACATCAGTCTCTTCCTTTTGCCAAAGAAGCTGCTCAATCCTCTCTTCACAGTCATCGATGGTATCCTGTTGGGTTTGAACCTGTAGGAACAAGTTGTTCTTGGCCTCTGTTAATGTCACGCTCTGTTCCTCAAGCTCCTTGCACCTCTGTGTCACCTTCTCAAGTTCACCCTTTGTTTTACCAAGTGCTTCCTCCTTCTGTTTCATCTCGTCCTCAGCAGCAGCAACGCTGAGGAGGGGCTTCACCTTGGTGTAGAATCCCCACCAACACCAGTTCCTCATGGCAAGCCACTTACGGATGTTCTTCTGAATCAGTTCCAGGGCAACCCTAGGAACAATATACGAACGTGGTGTTGAGAAAACAAAGAGGATAATATTCTGCAAGAAATATGAACTTGTTTTACCTACAAATACATGACTGTTCTTTAGATTCTACATTGAGCAATTTGTAAACAGTTTTTATATATCTTTTGTTCCTCATTTCTTTCTGCGATTATATTCAGGCCAGATCTGCAGTGACAAAACATACCTCTTGTCATGGAGATTCTTGAGATATTTCCTCATCAGGTATCCACGAATGTGAGCTTGGAACAGAGCAACAATCACCGACAAACGTTCGTCACGGATTTCTTCCAAGTAACCAAGAACTCCAGACTTGAAGAACACTTTAGTGTTGCCAAGACGGTATTCATCCTGACCCATCTCCAGGGCTTCTAGAATCTTGCCAGAAACTACCTTTCCCTCAACAAATCCTTCAGGGATGGCATTTGGGGCCAAGATTGAATACCTGAAAACAAAATCAGTTCTCTATATCAAATATCTTACAGGTATGTCATCGTTATGTCAATAGATTGTTGTTCATTGTCGGCATCATGGGATATAAGAGAATAAGCAACATATGAATTAAACCTTATACCTACCTCTGTTTGAACTCTGAGTAGATTATCCTACTGGGGAAGCCCTTTCTGCAGATACGGATTCCCTCAAGTACACCATTACATTGCAGTTGGTGAAGCACAAGACTGGCGTCAATCAGACCTGAATACATGTGATATTGTTATTAGAGCTGTGATTTAGATTTAACAGCTGTGTATAAGTATTTGTTATCTTAGTGGAACACGAGACCAGCATCTTTGAGACCATGAATCGTATTTTTCAGAATCAAATACTGGTTTGAATGCAGTGGGCTTTGAACTTTCAAAATATAAAAAAAGTTTAACACTACTCTTGTAATACGAAATCTATTGTCCATTCGTTTTCCATACCTGGTGTCTTGGTCTCGTTGGGAATGATGCAACGCACAAAATGAGGATGTGTGGAGTACAGATTCTTCATCAGTTTGTTCAGTGATTCCTGGTGAATAAACGTCATTATCAGTTTTAGAACCCTTGGAAGATCTAGTATTACATTTGGTACATATTCGAAAAACAAAGGAACCAGTCCTGAAACCAGTTCAATACTCAAACGTATTAGATACATGTGGTAGTGCAAATGTAAACGTTAGCATAGTTCTCTATAATTAAAAAACATATTATTGGTTAAATCATTCATTTTGTTCATGCATTAAAAACAGTTCAATTATTATACCCTGTGATTAGCAGATATAGTCTGGAAGGCAGAGCTCTTCTTTTTCTTCTTACCACCGCTGGCATCAGCAGCTTCTGTATAGTGAAAAGGTGGTATGCAGTCATTGTAAGACCTTAGAACACAATACAACGAACATAACCCTGATCCTGAAAATGACTCAATGTAATTATGTAATGTAATATACAGGTTTTTTTAAATATCCGAGTTACTTGAGTTACAATTGACATCATTTCATGTAAAATGCTTCAGTGATATGGAGAAACAATCCTCAAAAAGAGCTTCGCAGTGTTTCGTGTAAACAAAACTCCTGCCGGTGGAGACAAATAGCAACTGTACAAGTGGCTCTTTAGACTGTTTCAAAAGAACACAATACTAAAGAACATAACCCTGACACTGAAATTAACATGTAATGAAATTAATATAATGTATTGTTATATTATATATCAGAGTTTATTGTTCGACAATTGACACGACGTCATTTAAGCAACTGCAGTGATTTTGATAATCAATCTGCAACAAGAAGACACGGCTGTGTTCATGTAAACAAACCTCCTGCAGGTGGAGAGAAAAGCAACTGTACAAGTGGCTCTTTAGACTGTTTCAGAAGATCCACAATGGTCTCGTTGACAGGGTCCTTGTTCTTCTCCAGCCAGCCTCCGATATTGTAGGGAACTGTTCCGGCGTAATGCTTCAGGGCAAAGTCACCATGTTGGCCACCCTTCATGGATTTACTGGGCTTGAGGAAGTTGGGAGATTTGCCCATGTGGTTCTGAGTAAGTTTGTCCTTGAAGGTCTTGTCAGATGCTTTGGGGAACATACACTCTTCTTCCAAGATTGACAGGATGCCAAGAGGCTAAAATACAGTAAATTCATGATGGAAAACTCAACAAGATCAACAGCAAAAAAAAGGAAGTAATGAATGAGGCCTTTTGTGATGCCGTGAGTATGAAGCAAAACGATTATTATTTTGACAAGAAACATTGATTCAATACGTATTTTTCAAGTATGATGAAATGCAATACAAACCTTTTCAATAAGTTCAATGCATGCTTGCAAGTCCATTCCAAAGTCAATGAACTCCCACTCAATGCCTTCTTTTTTATATTCTTCCTGCTCCAAAACAAACATGTGGTGGTTGAAGAACTGCTGTAGGCGCTCATTGGTGTAGTTGATACACAACTGTTCGAAACTGTTGAACTGGAAACAAAGTTACAAATGCTGATAAAACGAATTAATTTCAGCATATCAGAAATACAAATTTCAACATATGAACTATCAGGTCTGTGCGGCATATCCTAACTTCTTCAATATTTACAACTGACAGAAGTAGCACATAACTAGTATTACAAGAAGCCATGAAATGCTAAAATACTGTTCATAATTTAGAATATTATACGTTATCTTTACTTTGATTTCTAATCAAATACTCTTAGCGTATTTACACAAGTAACATTTATCCTCACATCAAAGATTTCGAAGCCCGCAATATCCAGCACACCAATGAAGAACTGCCTGGGTTTCTTGGTGTCCAGGGAGTGGTTGACTCTCTTGACCAGCCAGTTGAACACACGATCATACAGTGACTTGGACAGGGCTCCGATAGAATAGATAACCTGATCCTTGGTTCGTCCTTGGGTCACGTAATCCATGGCAACCTTGATCTTGGGTTTACACAAAGCCTTCAGGAAGTCTCCACAGTTGACGCCCAACAGGAAGGAAACCTTCTCAGCTTCAGCAGTTCCATCAGGCTCAGCCTGTTCACCCTTCTGCTTGAACTGCATCTCACCCATGTGGAGGATAGAGCCAGTGCATTTGTAGGCGCTAGTTTTTTCCTCAGCGGTGAATCCCAGAACATCAAAGGCAGCCTGTAACCGGAATAAAGATGTTTATTGATACAATATAGGTAGAAAGTAGAAATTGAAACAATAATAAGACTTCAGAAAATAATATGCGATTTTTATTAAATTCTTATGTAAAACCACAAAAACAATTTACATCTGTCATCTTCATCTCCTCAACATCGTCGATGCCGTTGACAGTAAGCACTCCTTGATTGATGAAGGAGAACAAACCAGCATCGGGATTGGCCACGATCGTCTCTGAAATCAAAAGTGCTTTTATAGTACACGCAATGAAAGCATTATGTTTACAAATGTCACATCATCCTTGAACATATAGTTGTCAGTATAATTGTTTTCATGTGACCATACAGAGGCTGATGTCTTCGACTTTAGTCAAGATATTAGACATTTTTATACATGGCCAGCGAATATTCAATTTGTTTGGTGAAGCATATTAATTGATGTTCAAGTAAATACTATAAAAGTGTCGTTGTCTCTAACCTGCAACTGATGGTATCGCTCCAGACAACATCTGGTAGAAGATATGGTAGTTCCTCTCAACAGATTGCTGGTAGGTGACACGAGATTTCTCCAACAAATCTGTTATTCGATGCAACAATATTTCATATGTTTGATCCAAAAATTTCCAAACAGTCAAAACTGATGAAATGTTATTGATATGTGGCGACTTCCCAAAATTATAAAACACCACTTATTATGTCAGGATTTATCAAACAAATCTGTCATAAGACAAACTGACATTTGATGTTTTTATTAAAAGGTTAAGCTTTGTTATCGATAATTCTAGTGTGACGACTATGTTTAACGAAACTTCTCAAACACAGCGTTATTTTATATAGCGAGATCCAGATGAAAGATTACTTACATGTTCAAAATTGATGAAATATAATTGATGTGTGACGACTTTACCTATCTTTCAAAACACCACTGATTATGACGGCATTTTTTAAACAAATCTGTCATAACACAAGGAAATATTTGACTTTTGTATTAAAAAGTTAACCTTGGTTTTCAATAAATCCAGTATGACGACATTGTCTAACGTAAACATCAACTGTAAGACCTCTATGTGACATTGCGAGATCCAGGTGAAAGATTACTTACATGTTTCAATGTCGGCGCCAGCAATTTTACCGGAAGAGGCGAAGTGAATTCGAACAAATTTTCCCTGAATAAATAAATTAATACCATTTACCAGAATATGAATGCTATTATTGTAAAGCTACAATTATGTACACTATGAACAACATTTATTCAGCACGATATTCAGTAATATGAAGAATATTGGTACGATACAATAGATTGAATATTTTTATTTCTATATTGATGAGTTGTATGAAACCTATCGAAGACAAATGTAGACTTACGAATCTTGAGGAGTTGTTGTTACGTGACGTCTTGGCGTTACCATAAGCTTCAAGAACAGGGTTAGCCTGCACAATCTGATCCTCAAGGGAACCCTGCAACAAAAGCATAGTTGTGAACTCATGTAATTACCTATGGTAATGGCAAACAATTCGGATGAAATTTTGTGAATTTAGAATATTACTATGTCTTCATTCGTTCACCTTCTTTTCCTCTTGCTCCACTTCTCCCTTGGAGGCAGCGGCGACAAAAGCGAAGTAGGCGATGACCTTCTTGGTATTCTCAGTCTTTCCGGCACCAGATTCGCCGCTGTATGAAATAACACATTGTTGCTATGTCTTTCAAATGTAATCTACATTTTGCTATATGCTATTACATCTGTCTTTTACTTAATGGACACGACGCAAAAAGGGACATAACAACAGAAAGAAGAGCATATAAACTTCAAAGTATATTGGATAATGTATATTAAATGGAAAAAACAATTACAACTGGAGTTAAGACAACTATATAAGAACGAAATAACACCCATATATGATACAGTCCTGATTGATATACATGCTTGATGGATATATACATTATTGATATATTGATGTACTTACGTAATCAACATAGACTGGTTTTCACGATCTGAAATAAAATTCAAATATGTTATATGAGTGAATGAGTGAGTAGTTATTTACATTAGCTTTGAATAGGTTCGATCGTGGGTCCTATGCCACCAGATTAAGAATCATAAGTGGGGCCAACCAGGGATTTGAACACACGACCAGTATATTCTGTCATATGAGGTGACGCATTCATCCTTTAGAGGTAAGTTCTGACTGAACATGTGTGATCATAATTCAACCCTAGTTGTGAACAATGATTACCTTGCACCATGAACTGGTAGGCGTTGTCAGAGACGGAGAACAAGTGAGGGGGCATCTCGGTCTTCCTCTTGCCTCTATACTTGGCCACGATGGACGGAGTGTAGATGGGGAGACGACGGTAGGGGTTGATGGCAATACAGAACAGGCCAGAATAGGTCTGTAACAACGCGGTTTAAATTAGTGTGATACTTGTATAGGTAGTTCTATTGTTCGTTATTCATTGTTCATAAAATCATATATTTTTAATTCAATTCAAAGCAACGTGATCAATGTTATTTTCCACAAATATTTTTTTTCAGGTTATGTAGATAATATTGAAACTGCATTTCATCATATGTATTTAATTGGTTGACGAAAATATATGTAATAATATAAGGTAGTGCTTTCGATTAGTTTTGAAAGTAATTTTCAAAATATGATTTCATTTTGGGATGAGAAGACAACATTGAAACAGCGTTTTATTATGTCTTGATATTGAATTGTTTTATGACGAAAATAATATGTAATGTATAAGAAAGTGCCTTCGAATAATCTTGTACACACATTCATCCATCACATTAAGGATTACTCACATAGATCAACCCAGAAGTGTATCTGGCTCTCAAGTTGTACAGAACGCTGGCCTCGTTGAGGAAGGTCATGTTGGCGATGTCCTCGATCTTTTCATACTTTGGGGGGTTCATCGACTGGATGTCGTCCTTCTTGAACGTCTTCGTCTGAAATGGATGGATTTCTCATGTAGGTCCTTCTAAAGCCTACCCCTATGATTTTATATTTGAAATAATGTTCTTATTCTAATGGACATTACTATGTGGAACATGAAAAACAACTAGTGCATAAACGCACCTGTTTGGAGTCAACAATGAGGACTGTGACGTCATCTCCTGCTGTGCTCTGTATTTCAGCAGCAATGAAACCCTGCTCTGCATCGGGCGCCCAGCAAGATTTTTTGGCGTCAAAGTTTTTATTCTGCTCCTTCAGCAGCTTCTTGCGGTCCACAGCAAGATACTGCATCTCAGGGTCGGCAGGGTCGTATGAAGCCATGTTGACGTGAGTCGAAATACGTCGAAATCAAGAAAAACTGCAGTCGATCAGCTCTGTGGAAAGAAATATCATTCATCTTGATGATATTGTCTATTGCCACGCCTCCAAGTTTATATATCCTTAAATATCCTTGTGGTATTTCGTTCTTAATAACATATTTTAATACCTTACATACATTATCTTTCTTCAAATTTATTCCGAGGCACATTGTATGATATACACTTCTCTCATACACTGTCTCATATATCAACATCCCAAATGATAACAGTTTTATCGACAGTGTATAACGTAATTATGTAGCACCAACTAACAGATTCAATACTTACAACGAGGGCTGTTCTGTTCCCCTCACAGAGTCTACCCTTTTTATATCCTGGCTTTGCTTGGTGTGTTACGTAAGCTGCATACGATGATTGGTCAAGTTCCATTGCCAGACGAGTGACATAACCCGACATACCGAATACTGTACCATGTTAAGGCGGCATCCATTAACACAGCTTGATGTCAGTGTCTGGATTGTGGCCGTACAGTATTTTGTGCACACCATTTTCAAACAATTTACACAGTAATGATACATTATATCCACAATTTACTTTCAAAATGAATTCTAGTTTACAGTGATTGTATATACTCAAATACATAGCATATATATATATGTATGAATATGTATTTGGTATGTGAGGATGTGATTATATGTGGATATATGATTCCATAATGGTAATTGCATGCATCTTAACGCTTTTATTGATGTATTAAAAGGGTCTAAGTGTGCACTATTTAACTTTTCGTGTTATAATACATATTTTAACTAGTATTCCTTCACAAAAAAATATATATATTCAAATGATAAAAAGTATTAAGATATCTATCAGCATTACTCCACATGGGACCAACCTACATGCGGACTAATGGATTTGCATCATGCTACCCGCTGTGCATGTACTGGTTATGTCAAGGCAGATGTGCACGTGTTTTACAAGACATGGTTTTCCTCATTCCGAAACTGAGCCTCAAAGCGAATGTATCACTCCGACTGTTCTAATTATACTTTAACATTAACCTTCGATGGCCACGGCGATTTGGAACGCTGTCCTGCCATTTTGGCATTCCATTCGTCACCACACAAGACTCGTGTCTCTCTCATATATATTGTTTGACTGTTCTTAGCGCAAGCGAGAATGGTGAAAATATGTTTTGTCTCAAGTAGTATGAAGTATAAAGTATTTATGTTTTTGAACTACTTGCTAATTTTGTGAACGGATATTCTTGATATGATGTTTGTTTCTCTACATTCTATTAGTAAGTTTGGTAAGATTAACTATTGTTGAACATGTGTAGAAATGATAACGAAGTGATAAATTAAAATGATTCACACTTGTCAATCACAGTATGAAAAGTAGTCTGTTTTTATGTAGGGATGTGTTGTGGGCACGACAGAAGGATAGGAATGAGCTCTTGGTAAACGTATAATCAGAATATGCCTTCATAGTTGGTTCTTTTATGCTCAATACAACTATTGGACGATCGGAAGTTAGTTGTTTCAGAAAACAGAAGAACCATGCAAAAGATGTGTGAAGGCAACATGTATTGCCACTTAGCAACGCAGACGTTCTGCCAACTGGAGCTAACATTGTACCAAAAGCATAATTTTAGAAGAGATACTGTTATAACAAATGTCATATTGTTTTGATTTCTCCAGCAGCAAGTGGGGGCACGGCTGGCCCAGTCGTCTAAGGCGCGTCCCTTGGGCACGCCAGAAACCTATGATTGTGGGTTCGAGTCCCGGTTCGCCCCGATTATGTTTCTAGGTTTGTCAGCACCATACGCGTGCTCATGGGTTTCACCGAAGTGGTAAACGTCTAAGACCTGCATCACTTCGGGCTTTCCTACCAAATTAAGCTGACACGCCGTTATATAACTGAAATACTGTTCAAATTGGTGTTAAACCCAACTCACTCACTCACTCACTCCAGCAGCAAGTGATTTACAAAGACGGCTTTGATAAATGTACCAGTTGTATTGCGAATGGTGGCGTTTGCAAGTTTTCCCTTGTTTCCGATTCAGATTTTGAGGTGAGATTATAGTTCCGTCAAAGCTTACTAATTATACAATTCGTGTCAATTTGGACATTATTATACGATTGTGTATATGCACTGAAATCAATTTTCAAATAATGTCTTTGGGAATTTGAAGAATTTTGCTGCGGTGCCTTATGATTACAGCTTCATGCTGCCCATGGCGAGTTGAGACCTACGCATATTTTGAAAAATCCCAAATATATATTGCCGGCAAAAAATAAGGGAACTGATGAAATGATAGTGAAGGAGTAATGACGATAAATGTCTGTAAAATTTATTTCGGGCGTGTAGATCAATATCTTGTGTGTCCACTATTTTGGTTGGTATATGCACGGCACCTTGATGGCATACTGTTGATTCAATTGCGTATTGTTGCACTTGGTATTGCCGCCATTCCGCCTGAAAAGCTACCCAATGCTGGGTCATGTTGGCGGGTGATAGGGCTCTGGCCTACGCTCTCCGTCCGAGAACATCCAACACATGTTCCTATAGGGACTTGTCAGCGACTTAGCATACCAGTCCAATCTCCGTATGTCTTCTTGGAGATAATCGGTGACGACCTAGGAACGTTGTGGTCTGGCATTGTCTTCTTGCAGTTCCATATTTCTACCGATAATTCTAGCGAATTGAATAACGACAGTACGCAAAATATCGTCAACACATCGCTAGCTGGCCATTCACAATAACCAGATCATTTCGCCTGTCATGTGTAATACCGCCCCACACTACGACGCTGTTGCCCCCATACCGATCATGTCAAGAACTGTTGCCCTGGCTCGCCGCTCCGTCACAAACAAGGATTTCTGCCCTCTGTGAATCGGATGCAAAACCTTGATTCGTCTGTAAACATGGTGAAAAGCCATGTCAATGGTGTTGCCGAGCACACACCAATCTGTTCCGCCTATGGAAAAATGTTACGGTCACACCCTCCACAGGACACTTTGCTTTCACGCGTCCCGGTTTGCAACGGACGTAGTTTGATATTCGCCTTCCTGTTATTGTACGGAATTATCTATTGATATCAGTAACAGAATTGAATCTATTGGGTCGTGCAATTGATGTTATGAGACGATTTTGTCTAGGTGTTGGCTTTCAGGCCTGCCACGTCCCGGTCTCATTGCACACCACTCGTTTGACGGTTCTTGTCCCAAAGTCGCGAAATTACACTTTTTGATTTGCCAAATATTCGGGCTATACTTAGGATATTGATGTCCGCCCCTTCCAGAAATCTATGACCGTGGGTTCCATACTCCTACTCGTGGGTTTCACCAAAAGGTATTTTCCTCCCACAACACGGTGACACGCCGCAATCTATAACAGAAATACTGCCCAGGGCGACGCTAAACCAAACTCATTCACTCACTCTAAACCGTAAACATGTACAAATTCGTCTGTCATGCATAAAACACATATCCCTTCTTATTTACATGTGCTTTTTGTAATAAAGATTAGCAAACAGTTTTCTGAATTATATGTATGTGGACGGTGTGATCGCTTAGTGGTTAAAACGTTCTCCAGTGACGCTGAAGACACAGGATCGAGTCCTCACAGTGGTAAAATGTATGAAACCAATTTCAAGTGTCGACCGTCGTGATATTGCTAACGAGGCGTTAAACCGTACTCACTTCAAATTATGTAACTGCTAGTAATAAATCCCTTTTAGCACACTTGCATGCATTGACAGTTGAAGAATCTGAAACCCCCAAAGAGTGATCAACTATAAATCATGTGAGAAAATCTCTAGAATTATATTATACGAATTAATATGTTTGACCTTGTATAACAATTATGTTGGAACACTTCAGGAAAATACCTGATGTAACATTATCAAACGTTATCAGTGCCTTCACAAATGAGCAGTTCCTGTGGCATTCAAACTTTGTAGTGTCACATTCGGACTAATCGTCAAGAAAGTCGTTTCACTTCGGAGGTTTTAATCAGATATCATCATGCTTTGACGTTCAGCGTTTGCAATTGTGATGTGAATCTTTAAAGATGACTTATTCTGTAATATACCATCGTTAACATTCTTATAATTGACTGCCAAATGTATTTCTGAGGCTAGAGTATTGATGAGCAAAATAGTATTTAAAACGATTATCATAAAACATATCCTACATTTCACTTTGGTGGTATATTAAATGTATGGAATCGACACTCCTCTATCACCCATTCTAGCAACGTTCATCATCACCCGACATGACGGCTTGTTGTGCTGTTTATTAGAGGACTTGCCTTGTTGCGACCAAATTATCATGTCAAGCATTATATACCCACTACTCTTACGATAAACATGTAAATATACATCGATTGCTTTTAATATCAAAGATGTTAACACTTTATTCAGTTGTGTGTGACCTCTGGGGCAGGATACGCTCACCTTTTCGCGAACACCTGGTATCATTACTATTTGATAGTGATTCATTCATAAACACATGTTCATGACATAGTCAGAATTATATAATCGACGCTACTTTATGCAGAGATTTCTAGTGGATAATGGAAGGGTTGTGTCGCTTTATTTATGTGGAACCGAAAGTTTAATAAGGTTTAGCAAGACGTCAAGGTGTGATATTAGCCGGACTTCCATGTTTTACGCAGCTCCGAAGATATGTGTTAATGGATTTAAGATATATAATATATTCGTGATTGTATGTGAGAGAGAACTGAAATGGTTAAAGTCAGGTTGGTCAGAAAATCAGCCTGACTTCATTTTGTTCCCATGTCTCTATAATTTATACCAGTCAGCATTAGTTTGGATGACCTTTTCGTGGACACCTGGTATCATCACTATTTTACAGTGATTCATAAGCTCATGCTCATGATATAATCGGAATCGTACGATCGAATATTAAAAGGGTTTTGTCGCTTTTGTAGTTGAATATTTTCACTGACCAACAGTTTATAAATGAACTACAACTG